CTTTTATTTATTTGTTTTAATTTTGTTTTTCCTCTGTGAAACAATTCATAACCTCGTAAAAGATGTTATACAAATAAAGTTTATTAATATGATACAGCTGTTCTCAATTATTGCTGGACTATAGACCAAATTGTGAATCTCTTGCAGACCTAAATTTATGACACATTTTCACTCCTAACTCATAAAGTACCAACACTTGGTCAGTGGCCCTACAAATCAATATAGAACACCCTAGGTGCCCTATGGCATCAGTTTTAGACACTCAGGGATGGAGGGCCAATTTATGCTCATTATATGCATTGTGTGTTTTCAAAATAAACCATTTCCAAAAGAAACATGACATACCTCACTAGCGTAATATGCTACACATACTAGCACAGGAGGTTGTTACTGAATTCCACTTTTGTTTTCACACAGGACACAAACAGTGGCCTCCCAGGTAAAAGTCCACCTCCGCCCCGCCTGCCCTTTATTGGAATTTCTATGTTTAATTCTTGAAAGTAGTTCAAATTAGAGCTGGGCGATGTGATACAGCCTATAAAGGTCCATTGTGTAGGATTTAGGGGATATATTGGCAAAACGGAATATGATATAATAAAAATGTTTTTTTTAGTGTATGATCACCTTTTTTGTCACGTTATGCCTGTTCACACTACACGACATTTATGTCCGTTCCTACAGTCACTATGTCACATTAAGTGATCGTGGTAGGGCTGTACCCAAATATTCGGATATTTGAATATTCGTTCTATGGGTAGGTATTCGTTATGAAAATTTAGTATTCAATATTCATTTTTTTATTTACTTTTTTTTTTTTTTTTTAACTTTTTTTTGGTGCTAAATGTAGTCTTTTTGTTGTTGGTAAATGTAGGTTATCAATAAAAATCAAAACTTTTAAATTGCATTGTTAAAAATGTAAAAATATAGTATAGCCTACCAACTGAGCTTGTGCACACGGCACGCTTGAGCTCATCCGTCTGAGGTTGTGGATCAATGCCAAGTTTTACCACTTTATCACTATTCCTTCTAACTTGTAGCTGTTTTTTCGTTATCTTTTGAATTTAATATGAATTATGAAACCGTTTTTGTCAACGTTTGTTTCCCCCATTTTGTACAATAAATTATTGTTTAAAGTGTCAACAAGTTTCTTTTGGAGTGCGTGACACAAGTGTGTTTTGAAAACGACCACGGACTGTCATCTGCTCAACACATCAGTACCTTCGGATGCCATGACAGTAATAGCCAATAATGTCAAGATATAATTTACAGACCTATTTAACCGACGATCACTGCTGCCCAACCCGTAGGTCCATTTGCAGTCCCGCGGGTTACGGGTCGATCCGCGCATCACTACTCAGCTACTCAGCTACTCAGTCTATAAGGCTGTAAACACAACAGTAAGGCTATAGACATTATATTCTATTCAGACCGGCAGAACCAGCAGCGCATCGGCTCTACAGTGCACAACACTGCTGATTAACCAACCAGAGTGTCTGCCAGCAACCAGTTACTTGCAGAGACTTCCTACAACTTGTTTCAACGGTTCCGATTTAATCAGAAGACAAATTAAACAGGATGACTAGCCAATGTGAAAATCAAAAGAAAGCATATAATAATGTACTGAAGGAGACTCTTGTGCCATCACATTTTTTTGTGGTTTGAGAGCAAAGATCCGGTCGCCGCAGTGCAAAACTCCACAATACAATTAGGTCTGAAAAAACCCCGGAGGCAGACCGGGGAGGCAACCCCCCCCCCCTCTGCCGTGAACGAATATTCGAATATTCATTATAAATTCTGCCGAAGGTCCGAATGTTAAAAAATGGTATTCGGGACAGCCCTAGATCGTGGAGTCATAAAATCGTGCCGCGACTTGGCTGACACACATGACTCACTACACGATGGTCCACACCAATTATCCCCGGTTGTCTTTCACGACATGTGTGTTGTCATCGGATTATTCTTGTCCTATTTTTATTGTTATCACTATTATTTCAGTCACTGTGTCTGTTCATGTGGCAGCCGAAATGTTGCTGTAGTAACATACAAAGCGCTACCAGATGTCAGGAGCTACATTTGAAGTACTGTACGCAAACATGCAAGCTACTGAATCCTCCACAACAAGTTCCTGCAAATGTTTCACAAAAAAGCCTTTTTAGAAAATGAAGGATTCCCTAAACCGAAGTTATAAGGGACTTTTAATGTGAAACAGATACAGGAAGTGTTGAGTTTGAAATGATGGTGCGATGCATTAACTTTATCAAGGCAAACAGGAGCAGAAAATAAGTAAAACTATAAAAATACAGAGGGAATAATAAATAAAGGCCTGTTAGTAATGTAGTCTGTTTCAAATGAAGCTCAGCCTCTGCAGTTGTGGTGAGTAAAAGCCACTATTTTTTTTTTTTTTTTACTTTATATTCTCCATTATAAAGAAATAGTATTGTTCGCTAGCTTGATGCTAATGGCAGTACTCACAGGGTTGATAAAGTGCCTCTGCTGTTTCACACCATCATTTTTCCCTTTTTACTCTGTCATGGCAACATCCCTAAAAGAAATATCTAAAAGCAGCAGATCACTCTGTGTTTCTATTGGTCAAAGTGACGAGACAGGACGGGAGCAGTCGCGAACGACAAAAAGAAAATCAAACATGCTAGACTTTCTATTGGAACGTCGCGAGCCGTCCCAGATGTGGTGTCGGTTGTCATCTACTATGACACACTACACGAGATGAAACAATGGATTGTTGACACTCATTGTCGTTCACAATCCCAGCCGTCACCGTACGTCGCTGCGTCAGGCTATAATCAAGCTGATATTGTGTAGTGTGAACCCGGCATTAGAATGCACTGTTTATCTCTATATAGGGAGCAGGTCCTTGTCTACAGAGATCACCATGTTTCTACAGTAGCCCAGAATGGACAATCTAAACACTGGCTCTAGATTGGGACATTCACATTTTCATGTCAGCCACCGTAGTTAGCAGCTTCCGCGGCGAGCAGCATTGGAAAAACAGTGATCTGTGAAGTAAGACTGCTTTTTTTGCCAGTATAACTCACTGTTTTGAGAGAAAGAGACCTCTACAGATAATTTGGCTCATGGTAAAAACCTCCTGAACAATGAATACTGAAAAAATCCTAACCAGCAGAAGTTTTAGCTGGTTGCAATCTTTAATCCTCACTATTTGATGCAACTAAAGTCCCCTAAATGTTACACTGTTTCTTTAAAACCAGAAAAGACAAGAGGTATGACATTAAATATCTTAAATATAAGACGATATCTAGTCCCAGCTCTAGTACCAATAAAAACTCCACACTAGCCAACCTAACAAGGAAATTTTAAGTATTTTGCTTTGTTTTTATCAATTATTGTAACTTTGTTAAAACAGTTGCATTCACTTGCACTATGCACTGTTTTAAAAATCTCAGAGATCGGTATTTTAAAACCAGAGAACTTAAAAACTAAAACTATATCTACCAACCCTCTGAAGTCAACCTCATAGAAACATAACTCTCAAAAACAGAATACTGTGGCCATATTTGCAAACCATAAAGCAAGCTATGCTTTTTTTATGGTTTGCTGAAGTGAAACTGCTGCGAGCACACAAATCATAAACAGGAAATCCATTTGTTTAAGCGACTCCCGAGGGCCTCAGAGAAAGGGCAAAGGGGTTGATGTATATCAAAAGTTCACATCTGCTTCTAGAGCGTATCACTCTTGTTGTGCAGGGCTCACACACTCTCTCCTCGTGACCTTATCTCATGTCTCAGGAGGTCATTTTTCACCTGGTCGGTGAACTGCGGGGTTGAGGGGGGGATCGGGTGGCAGTTTCATGCACCCTGCTCTCTTTAAGTCTACCCTCACCAGCTTTTCTGCTGCAGCTCTGCTTCCGCAAACTTCTACATGCGCTGCAGCTTCCTGCTGAGTCAGCATCATTAACTACCATCTTTTATCTTTCCGGCTTGATGTGTTTCTCAACACAGGATGTCAGCTGCATTTCAGGGGATGGGTCTGTGCCAACTCAACTATGACCACATGTCCGCCACGGCTTAACTCTCCCTCTGCAGGGAGGAACTCAAGAATGTCTATAATCTTGTGTTTATGTGACAGAGCAGTCCTGTTGTTCCTGTATACATCACCCCCTTTCCCCCCTTTGTACATTTAGCAGCAACAAAATAATGATTTAAACAGATGGTGGCAATTTAGCTCTTGCAGAGGAAGTTCAGCCTGTAGAGGAAGAGATAAAATGCCAACATACTGTTTTTCTTCTTCCTATATTGTTTTTTTATATCATGTGGACTTGACTGACCGTGTCTCGACCCAGGATCGTCTCCCCTGAAGCTTGTTAACAAAGATCCTGGAGAGCAGGTGTGTCAGTCAGGTCTATATGCAATGATTGCATATGGAACAAGAAAATCAGCTTACAGGCATTTTTACTTTTTGTGGTGTACATGTACATGACGCTGTCATCTGTATCAACCCCTCAGCCCATCACGGTGCCCTAACCACCTATATGCAGCTTATTCATACTCATATATTACAGCTTTTATCGCCTGGCCCCACCATTCAAAAGCACATTGAGAAAAGCACGGATTTTAACTTGAGTCCAGTCCATCCCAGACTGATGCCCAGAGTTGAGGATGCTAATTGCCCCTTGATTACTGGACTGCAGGACAAAGGCAGGAGCAGAGCGGAGGGAGGCGGTCGACACTTCATTTACCACACAGTCAAGGTGCATTCACGCAGCAGGAAGATTAATTAACCGCATGTTGTGATTATTTTCATGTCAGCCACTGACTCCGCACGCGTGGACAGAGGAGTGGCACTAGCTGTGGATGGGAGCTGAGGTGGTACCCTCTCTGCCCACCAAGCATGTCAGGAGACACATCACACATGTAGGTTTATTCTGCTTTAAAATGGACGGTGGCCACCGGGCGTAGTATACAGTATACATGCTGCTGGTGTGTGTGTGAAAACAGAAAAACGGCACCTTTCATTCCGCATACCTGTGAAGTGCTGCAGCGTCGTGCCCTGCACCCAAAGGCTCAGCACTTGCTGCACCGACAGATTAACAGAATAATCCCTGTTCGTTGTCATGTTTCTGCCGCCGCCGCCGCCGCCGCCGCCCGGGTTCGCACCCCTCTTTATCGAATAGCTGTACTTGGCTTTAGACGAAGGCATGGAGGAGACCGGGGTGGCATGGGATGTGAGGCGGCTCTCCCCGGCGCGGCTCGCCTCTACCGGTGCCTCTGCTTCGGCTTGACGTCCGTCTCCGCTCCGGGAAGGGAAGGGCCGCTGGCTGGTCGGTTCATCCTCGGTGGTGTCGGTGGCGGCTGTGTGGAGGCCATGATGGGGATGGCAGCGGGAGCGCAGGCAGGCAGACGCACGGTCGGTTCGTCCTACATCGGCCAGCCCGGCTACATAACCCTTAAAGGGCCAGTCGCCTGCTCGGTGGGGGGTGGGGGGGTTACCGTGCACGGTGACACATCCTCGAGTTACTGTTGTCGCTTCATCAATGGGGAACAAAAGAGAGCACGGTGCACAGAAAATGTGCGTAAGTAGGATAAGTTACGTAGCAACGTAATCACGCCATAATATTCCAATTATCGTCATTAACACACCACAAAACACTCAGGTGTGAATTGCTAAAAAACACGATTAATTGTGTTGTTTTAGCCGAACAGCATGAGTGCGTAATTTACAGCTGGCACGAGCCTCAAACATGACTCAGCCAATCAGAGCAGAGAACCACATCTGTTCACATCACATATATGTTTGCATAAACCTTTCATAAATATATATGCAATGTTTATTTTGTTGTTGAATAAATTCCACGTCACAATCAAATGACGTTGCCAAGTGTCAGCTACTACCGGGGCGTTGCCCATGACGACGGATGGATGCGGGAGCTCTCCGTGGTGCTGATTGGCTCACCCAAAAACGCCTGATAAAATAATAAATAATACGATAGGATGGATGTGAGCAAGGCACACAGGGATGGGGAGTATTAGAGGGAGGTTTTGGATTAGAGAGAACACAGAACATGACTTACCACATGTTTACATTGAAGTATGGTGAGCCTACATGTTGGAATAAATCCAGATGTTTAAGCTGATGTGCAGGAGGAGACCTCACAGAGCACCTCGAGACAAACAGTGAATTTCTCAGTCAGCCCCACGAGGATTAAGACAGAATCCGAGAACACATGAAAGCTATTTTGAATAGTGTGAAGCTTTACACCTGTCTGACATCTTTTACTCACATGGTTGAGCGTCAGACAGAAAAGTTGGATGTGGGGAGGCAGGAAGGGAACCTGGGTGTTATGTAGACACTGAATGTTCTGGAACATTTCTCTGAGGAGTGCAGTATTTTAAGAAGTGTCCCAGTTCAGAGGTATGAGGGCGAGGAAACGTCTGACATTTGACATCTTTTGAGTCTGTAGGATTGTCTCTAAATGCAAAGGTTAACAGGGTGGGTTTTAATAGGCTGCTGGATCACATCTCACTGTAAGTTCAGCTATTGTTGTCAGAGAGGCTATAGGCTATCTAGAGAAACATTCAGTAGTATAATGTATCAGTAAGCTGCAGAAGAGTAGGGGAGAACAGGGCTGGTTGTCACATTCATTAGATCTCACACTCTAGAAGGTACTGTGAGAAAATGTTGGGGTCAGAGACCTGGACAGTTATTTCAGGAGTTAGACACTTGACATTGAGATGAGAGGATTTTTTTTGTGTCTTTCATGTCAAAATGTAAATATACAGCTCCTCCCTTCTCTAGGCTGATACACAATGGGTTTATAATACAGCAATTATTAGCTCAAGCAAGAGCTATAGTTACAATATTTTTTCTTAGCTTTGTAAAGTGTGTTTTTTAGCATAGTCACTAGCAAAAAATTGCAGTTGGGGATGTTTGTCACAATCTCTTTGGGGTTGGCTGTCACATGTAGTTCTTTTTTTGTTCATTATAATATGATATAAGAGAGAAAAATAGATTTATGGGCATTATTTTTCCTGCTTATGTTCTCTTAGGTTTTTGCATTTCAATGAAAAATTCCAATGAAACTTTACAACTTAACTTTAAAGATTGCTTACATTTTGTTTATCCCCGTTACATTAACATTGGGACAACCAATTCCATTGTGTGACAACCGACCCCACAATGGAGAAGGTTGTCAAAAGTGCACAAGACATCAAGACATATATGATACTTTAAGCCTACAGAGAGTAAGGTCGAGCCATCCCTACCTGAAATTTGAAATGGAATTTGTGAGATACAGTTTTCGAGGGATTAAAATGAAAATGAAAAATATGATGACCAACCCTCCCTATTGCTGAAGGAAGACACCAGAGGGTTTTTGCTCCTTAAGCACAAATACACACTTTTTATTGTAGCTTTCCAAACAGCCATTATCTTCCATCTTCATTTTTGTTTTGTGTATAAAGAGTTCATTTGCAAAAAACAGATGAAGCCCATTTTAAATGAATAAACAAACACCAGGTTGATGGATACTCCTTAGAGTGTGCAACAAATTAACTTTATGCAAACTGAGAAAATTTATGATATCTCATCTAAACAAGCCAACACCAGTGTGAGTGATATTCTGGGGAGCACAATAACAAAAAACAAAACAGGAAAATAAAAAAAAAGAGATGAAGCCTTCATATTTATCTCTCTCTTTATGAAAAATCTTTCAGCACATGTGGAGATGATTACACAGATTTGGGGTTAAGAACAATTAATGCTTGTAAAAGGAAAAAAGCATTTAAATGTCTGTTTAATTAAAGTTATGGTTAACTAGGACGTAATGTGTGTGAGATTTGTTGTATATGAGCTTAAAAAACAAAAGTATAATCCTTTCAATGTATAAATGAATGTATCCCTAATGTATGTAATAACTAAAACAAAAAATGTACAATATAAATTTTAATGTTTTACCTGCATGTGTGCAGGTTGATACACGAGGATAACACCACCTGAAAGTGTTGCCAAAACTGGTGAAACACTCTCCCTCTTCTTCTGTAGACATCCTGTTTCATCACAACTTTTTTTTTTTCAGTGTTCTCTTGTAGCGTTTCATTGCCCTGAGGGCTTGAAAGAGAGTCTGAGGAAAAAGTTCAGGTGAGATGTTAAAGGAGGAGCAAACACAACTTTTTCCCTGTAAACTTTAAAGAACTGATGGTGCTGTTTGTGACGCAGCATGTTGTTTCCCTGCACATGTACGGTCATTGATGGGGCCTGCTTGCCTCTTACTGTAACTATGACTCACACAGTAATGTTTCCTTACATGCTGTAATTCAGCTACTGCTCATCACAAGTTACTTCATGTGACATGTTGAGTATCACAGCACGATGAAGCAATGATAAATGGATAATGTAATTCCTGCTTTGTTTTTAAAGTTCTGTCATGGATTTACATTTACTGTTCTCTATGAAACACAACAAAAGAAAGAAGATGTACTACTTCTCTCTGTAGCACCCTGACAGCTGGTCTGTGGGGAACAGACAGACAAGACAGCAAAGATTCATGAAGGCAGTGTTTGGTTTGCAAAGCAAATGTCATCCTTTGTTTCCTGTAAAAGATCGACTCTTTGAGCAGAGTCCACCACCAGTGCACAGCTGTCCACCACGACATTCTTTAGAAAGCTTTTTTTTTTCACTTGATGCTTATACAGTATATACATATATATATGTATGCAGGCTTTAAAAGTTTAACTACCAATCATTAACTCTACAGAATATTTAACATATTCTTCAGTTTCAAAGTTTATTCTTAAACACAAGGTAGCTTGTCCCAGGGCTTTCAATCATATTGCATGGTCTTCATCAGCAGAGGGAGTTTGCTCAGTTGTCATGGGAATGTAGATGTTCGCTATGACAGCTTTTCAGTGGGGTCGTGTTTACAGTGTTCACGAGAAGAGTCCATAAGAACGCTCCCCTCATGTGGTATTCAGGACCTAGAATGGATATTTTCTCAAAGCAAAAATGTTCATGAGTTGTTAAAAAAACTTTTTCAGAAATAGTGGAGGCCATGCTTTTGTTGGATGATAAGATAATACTTTTAAGTGTTTTCCCCTAATTTTATGATATGACTGAGGAAAATGTTGATATTCCCAACGGCCTCACCTTTATCCTTACACCTTTGTATTTGTTGCATTATTGTCAGCCTCAGTAGCTTCTAGACTCCAACAATAGCATCCATATTGCCGTTACCTAGCAGCGGCACAATTTCACCACTTGAACGTCACGCATACTATGTACACGACTTCCCATGTCATAACCCTGACAGAGTTTGAAGGCAGCAAATTTTTTTGGAAGAGAACCTCTTGTCCATGTTGGCTTATAACCTGAATTTCAAAGTTATATGAAAGTTTTTTTTTATTTTGTAAATATAAAGCGTTTTAATGAAGTTATGTGAGTTTTGTTTTAATGCAAACTAGACATTTTATTTAATTTCATTCAAATTTAAACATGCTGTAACATGCATGTAACTCTGGAGAAAGAAAGTTGGTTGTTGAGTCTTATTCCTGAGTTGTCCTCATCTGATGTCAGACAGAACTGTCAGCTCCTTACAGTCAACTCGAATTCTCTGGAGTCAGCGGATTCAAAAGTCTAGGGTCCTTTTCATCATGCTAACTTATGCTTCATCACCTCCTCTCTCCTTCTGTACTGTTGGCCCTTCGTCATCATGAAGGATCTTCCAATCCTTAAATACACCTTGAGGAGACGAGAAGAGGGGAGGCTTCTAGAAGAGCTTCGGTGTGTTCTACTGACGTCTTTCATTAAGTGGTGTGACTATGGAACTCCCCAAGGGTCACAGCGAGATGTACTATTTTTTGCGTTCTGTGATGTAAAACACCGCACCTCCATGAAATTCTTTATTCACACAGTTTGCTCTTACAGCACTAACTTTGTAGTGTCGTGTATGCAGGTACAGGTAAGTCACAGATGCAGTATAATGTGCAGACAACGTGTGTGTGATAAATGTGACAGAGCAACAGATAAATGATTACAAGACACATTAAAGGGTGATTAAAATCCACAACAGTGATAACACCACTAGTGGGGTGGCCAGAAGAGCGGGTGTGGGTAGAGCAAGCGCCCCATGTACATAGGCAAGAACCTTGCCGCAGTGGCCGTGGGCTTGATTCCACGCCGTGGCCCTTTGCTGCATGTCATCCCCTCTCTCTACTCTTTCATGCTTCTGACTGTCCTGTGATTATAGGCCTAAAAGGCCCCACAGGAGTTCTGTGGACATTTGTACTGGTAGCTTGGACAGGTTTAACCGTTACACAGCTTGTCACCTGGCGTTGCTTGAGAGTGATGCTATGGAACCAAGGATTTCTCATTGGGCAGCTTCGGCTTCTCCGTCCTTGCATCTCTTTCTTGCCTCTTCCACTCACATCCTCTGTGGGTGAGATTATTATGCAAGGAAAGGAAGCAAGTGAGGGAAGCGAGGAGACACGTTAACATGAAGAAATTCACAACTGGACCTAAAACTACAAAACCTCATGTCTAGAGTTGACACAGTCTGAACTTATCACC